CACGAGACACACTTTCTTCTGGGCCACAGTTCTCTCATTAATCTTAAAGAAGCTAAGAAAATTCATAATTTATCACCTGTAACATTTCCTTAAAAAATATCTCTCCCTATAGGATATGAACCAATACATCTGAAGATGTGAACACTGTGAAGCACATGTGAAAGGAATGGGTACAACTTCATAGGTCTGGTTTTATTAATATGTAAATAATAAACACTGAACTGAAATGAAATCTTTAAGGCAATTTCACTTTAAGAAATGAACTTATAATTCATATATTCTATTTCTTCAAGAGAAACAGAGCCTGGCACTTGATTTGGCTATCTAAGTTGGTGAGCCCTCAGCTTAACAGATCTGCTTTCAAAAACATAAATCCAGTTGACCTTACTTAACAATGAACCTTCCTCTCCTTTATAGCCTTGTAACCACCTGGTGATTTATGAGAGGTGTGTCCTCTACACACTGCTCATCTTCTGTGAGTCTGCAGACAGAGAAATTAGGTTATAAACAGTATGTGGAACCTAATCGGCACTGCTCATTGAGGAATCCCCATGGAAAATATGCAGACAAATAGAAGTTGTAGTATTTCACTACTGGAGAAGGATTGAGAGACTGAAAATCCAAAGGAGAAGAAGTTTTGCATTAGAAATTAAAATACTGCCATGAATTATGGGGCTGGTTCTGTTGGGAACTCACTGATTTGGGACAATCCTTTTACCTTGACTGATCTTCATCACAAAGGGCATTCCTGTGTTTATCCAAGAAATGCTCAACATCCTTAGTCATTCAGGAAATGCAAATAAAAACAACCCTGGGATTTCACCTCATACCCATCAGAATGGCTAAGATCAAAAACTCAAGGGATGATACATGCTGGAGAGGATGTGGAGAAAGGGGAACCCTCCTACATTGCTGGTGGGAATGTAAACTTGTACAACCACTTTGGAAATAAATCTTGTGAAATCTCAGAAAATTAGGAATAGTGCTACTTCAAGATCCAGCTATACCACTCTTAGGCATATACCCAAAAGATGCTCAAGTATACAACAAGGACATTTGCTCAACCATGTTCATAGCAGCTTTATTTGTAACAGCCAGAATCTGGAAACAACCTAGATGGCCCTCTATGAAGGACTGGATACAGAAAGTGTGGTACATTTATATAATGGGATAGTACTCAGCTATTAAAAGCAAGGAAATCATGGAATTTGCAGGCAAGTGGTGGGAACTAGAAAAGATCATCCTGAATGAGGTAACCCAGAAGCAGAGAGACACATATGATATATACTCACTTATAAGTGGATATTAGTCATATAATATAGGATAAACATACTAAAATCTATAGTCCTAAAGAAGCTAAATAACAAGGAGGATCCTAGGGAAGATGCTTAATCCTCATTCAGAAGGGCAAACAGGATAGACATCGGAAGTAGGAGAAGACAAGGAACAGGACAGGAACCTTCCACAGAGGACCTCTGAAAGACTCTACCCACCAGGGTATCAAAGGAGATACTGAGACTCATAGCCAAACTTTGGGTAGAGTGCTGGAATCCTTATGGAAGAAGCTGAAGATAGAAAGACATGGAGGGGGTCAGGAACTCCACAAGGAGAACAACAGAGCTAAAAAAAAACCTGGGCCCTGCAGTGACTGATACTCCAACTAAGGACCATGCATGGACAGGACCTAACCACTGTTCAAAGGAAGCCCATTGGCTGTTCAGTTTCCAAGTGGCTTTCCTAGTAAGGGGTACAGGGGCTGTCTCTGACATGATGTCAGTGGCCAACTCTGATCATCTCCCTCTGGAGGGTGCAGCCTTGCCAGGCCATAGAGGAAGATGATGCAGACAGCCTTGATGAGACCTGATAGATAGAAGGGGAGGAGGTCCTCCCCTATCAGGGGACTAGGGAAAGGGTATAAGGGGAGAAGAGGGAGGGTGGGACTGGGAGGGGGCTTCAGTGGGAATACAAAGTGAATAAATTATAATAAATAAATATATAAATAAAATAAAATTAAAAAATAGTCACATGGAGGCTATTTATATGTATACCTTGCTAGACTCTCAAGAAGAGCTGTCCTGCTCCCAGAGAATTCATGTTTGTGGCTGCCAATGTTGTCTTAACTGTGTGACACCCAAAGGCATTGCCACAGAGCCTTCACAGCAGGAGCCCTACACAGTCTAGTTGTGCATACAGAAACCCATCCAAGGACTTTCCCTGGAATGCCCCCATCTGCCCTTTGAAATCTCACAGTTGTGAGTCTAGGAGGATCTTTTCATCTCAAGGAGCATCTGTAAGCTGGTATGGAGCTCAGAATGTGGTAGGACATCCTGTCTACTCTGGCAGAACGTCCCCTAGTCATTCTTTGATACTGTGATCCCCCGTTAGCTTTAATGGGCTCGTCTCTGCGTCCTCTACCCACTGCTGCTGTAAGTTCTCTGTTACTGTAGTCTAAGAAGGAGCTTAAGGACAACAAAGAATCAGAAAAAAAAAAAAACCCCAAACATTTAGATAAGCAAGCATACCCATGGATAATGCTCCATTTCACATAACTCCATATACAGACACTAAGGCACCAAGTAAGTTCTTGATGTTTCGATCGCCCCTTTAATAGCCCCATTGGCATGTACAAACTAAAAGAGAGGCTAGAGGTTTCATGAAAATGTAAAGAACAAATTACAAGAGTTGGCTAGGGTCTGAGTTTGGAGGGGAGTAAAACAGTAAAGAAAAACAAAATTCACAAATATAAACACAGAGGTCTTTGACTAGTTGTATTTTAAATCTATATTTGTTTAATGTGGTTGACTGTAAAAAGTTAAATTCCAAATTTAATATGGAATAAACTCTATTAATGAAGGTCTTGGGGTTAGTGGTATTGTTTAGTGGTATAGCATTTGCCTAGCAATGCTCAAACCTCAACACACACACACACACACACACACACACACACACACACACACACCAAAATCTCACCATACCAAAAAAAAAATCTTAAAAGGTACTTAACTAACTTCATTGCCTTTCTAATTGATCTGCTTTCTAATAAACAAAAAATGAGGTACCAATATTTGTGTTTTTTTATATTTTTAATTCCCCTGTTACAAAAACAATTCTTCATGTATTTTCACAGACTGCCTAACACAAACTAAACAAGAATCCCCAAAACATTTTCTTTTTTCATGGAAAAAGGCAGATTCTAGAAACAGCCCAGGTGTGGATTCTGACACGGAGCTGGCCCAGGCATGGGTGATGGCCATCTCCGTTGCCACACCACCCTGCTCTTCTCCACAGAGCTTTGTTTTGATGTCACTTACTTGGATTCCTGATTATTCAGCAGAGGGAGGGAAGAGCTGAGGTTCAAAGGTGGCAAGAGTCATTAGGAAGGTGCCAGAGGGGCCAGGAAACCAGATTGATACCTCTGTGATTGTGAAATCTCTATTATTTTCCACTTTCTGGAATCAGCGTCTGGTAGTGGACTCTGCCTTTCCACAGGTAATGCCCCTTTCTAACTCTGGGTCTGGGAGCTCAGGCTGTCTGGCTCTGCAGCTCGGTGGTGACTAGAGAGGCAGGTTGGGCCATGCTCAGTCCAGGGCAGCCCTGTGGAACTTGATAGGAGCATCCAGGAACAAATCATGTGCTTTACCTGGAGTCAGCTACTCCTGTCTCTAGCCCGTGAGAGAATGGGCAGGCAAGAGTCAGAACACAGCCAAGTGGCCTAGGAGTTCTACCAGCCTGGCTCAAGACTGTGGCTTATATAAAACTGAGTCTGTGCTACAACTTTTTCAGAGCAGGGGCCAACAAATTTTTTCTGTGCTCCGGCAGGTTTGAGATGAACTGTCTGTCACTCGTAACAAGAATCTATATACTGAGAAAGAATGGCTCCACTCCTGCTACTAATTCAAAGCTGCGCTCAGAGGCTATCAGATAATTAAGACTGTAGATCAGGCTGGGGTGTGGCTCATTGTGCAGCACTTCCTGACATGCACGAGGGCCTGGGTTCGGACACAGAACTGTGTAAAAAGAAAATTAGTATCAATGAAATAATGTAAAATTTATGGAGGAGTGAAGTGACCTCACACTGCAGAACCAAGAATAGGACTGTGGTCTCAGGCAAAAGAGAGAAGATGAACCACGAATGCTGCTTTTTAAGTCCCCAAGGCACCGTTCATAGCTTCACAAATCTCTCAGAGAATTAAACCTTACAGGGTCTTCATGTGGAGCTCCTTAGAGACATGAACATCAACGACAAAATGATTCTTCCAGTAAGAGTGAGAACTCTGCACATTCAGATGGGCTTCAACATTAATAAAACCGTCTGGCCTATGTCTGATGTGAATTAACTGCTTGCCAGGAGGGGGAGGGGAAAGCACAAGCAACCATTTCCACTAAAGAAGTACTTGTTTACACGGATGCATGCCAAGGCTAGCCTACACATACACGTTCAACCCCAGCCAAACTTCTCATTTAAAGTAGTCACATGGAAACCTTAAGAGGGACGGGGGGGGGGAGGGGCGTGGGGGTTGAGTAGTTGATGGAGAAATATTCTGGATAGCACAACAATTTAAACCAGAGGCTGTATCCCTATATTAGTGTTTTAATTTGTACAGATGCACATAGTTATAGAGAAATACTGAAAAGAAAGAGAAGATGAATTTTGTGTGTCTACTGAAAAAATGCTGTTCTCGAACACACAAAGGTGTACGCACAATGACATGTATTTTTTTCCCCACATCTCAGAGAAAACCAAACTGCAGAAAGAGACAACAGCAGAGTTTCAGATAACTAGCTATGCCTGTAACTTCAATGGCTCCCAGTAAATGCTGTATGGTGGAAAAAAAAAAAATCTCTGGTAGTTTTTAAGATAAGGTACCATTACTATTCATTACTGACAGATTACATCAAAAACATTCTGCCAGACTTTTGCAGTGACGCTGCAACGTGGACCAGGCAAGCGAAGGACGCTCAGGGAGGAACGCATCAAGGGGACCCACATGAACATTTACCTTCCACCGCTCTTTTGAAGAAGACTTTGCAGCTGCCGCACGTCACGACCCCGTAGTGGCACCCCGAAGCCTCGTCACCGCACACCAGGCAGATCTTGGAAGGTCTCGAGGACCCAGCAGAAACACTTCGTAAAGTAGAGCTGGGGAGAGAGAGCGAGATGTCAATAATGGCACCGCAGTGCCCATATCCTGCCATGCTCAGCTGCATTCCAACTCTCTGACAATCTCAGTCTCCTGAGCGGATTCAGTTTCCCGTGGTCACATGCTGAATAACTCAGAGAAATGGAGGTAAGGCCAGGCCAGCCAGTGGAGTGGCGCCATCAGGAGTGGGAGGCCACAGTTCAGTGGGCGGGGCACTCGCTGAACATTCGTGAGGCCTGGAGTTCAAGTAAACGCAGAGCTCACCTGTAGGAAGAGTGATGGAGGAAGGCATCCGACACCAACCTGTGTCCCCACATGAAGAATGCACATGTGTGCACACACCCTGACCTACACGTATATAAGCACACATACACATATGCACGTCAGAAGAGCATACAGTTAGTCAACATTGAGAGTTGAAGGGAGAAAACACATCTACAAATACATTCCTTCCTTTGTCTATTTTCTAGATTATTTCAGAAGCTGTAGCCATAAAGTTTCACCAACATAACTACCCACACGTCAGTAGAACAAGGACAATACCAACAGGCATGCCAAAGTGGACGGGGTGAAGACCACCAGGCTTCAAACCTACACACGGGACTACAGGTAACTAGGGAATGCCGAGAGCAGGAAAAAACTTTCCAGGGCCGAACACATCAACAGTTTTCCTAGGCCAAACAGTCATCCCCCAAAATGTATATAAACGCAACATTATACAGAGGGAGCAGGTTATATTTGGTAATATATATGTATATACATATGTGCACGTAACAACTAATGAAAAAAGAGACCATGAACTTGAGTAAGGGGAGGTATACAGGGAGATTTGGAAGAAGGGAAGGGAAGTGGGGAATGATATAATTACTCAAAAAAGAAAAGAAAAATTATTTAATAAATTTATAAAACCCAAACCAAACTTCAGCTTTTTGATTTTTTTATCTTGATAGACACATGAAATATATTCTGTATCTGGCATTTTTAGTTTTAATATTTACTATCCTTTCAAATTAGTAAGCAAAATGAATTGTGTTGAATATATATGTTACAGCAGGGTTCTGTTTTGTTTTTGGTGGGGCTTTAAGCAGCAATCTGTTTGGAAGCTGTTTGAGAGGAACCTTCTCTGGATATTTTATACAGTACTAGTTTAGTCTGGTACGTTCCAAACAGAATGCCTTACATTCTAACGTGGAAGCACAGTCAAGTGACAGCTTAGGTAGGCGTGCCCTGAGCAGCTAGAGAAGCGGCCTGTCCCCCTCCGGGACCATGAGCATCACTGAGTATTTATCAACAAGCCCCAGGCAAGATACCGAGGGAATAACTCTAAAAGTCCAAAGCTGGAGGGACACACACAGATTGTCAGCGCCGCTGCAGGGTAAGATGGCGTTATATGCAGACTAGGAAAACATTCATTCTGATGCAACTGCTGAGAGGAACAGGGAAGCATGCAAACAAAAGGGGGGAAGGGAGGCAGAAGAGCAGCAGCTACGAGACTGTGCACTGGGCATGCTCAGTGGTCAGGGACGCTTCCTGCCTCAGCTCTCCCCACAGCTGTGCATACTCCAACTCAACATAAACAGCAGACATGAAATTAAAATAAAATACTCAAAATAAACACACTAAGGGGCTACAAGGCTCATGTCATTGTCATGGTTCCTTTGCTTTTCAGATCTGCCAAAACCTGGTAAAATCATGTTAAAACACATTTGTCTAAAAACACTTTTCAATGTATGAACAACCCTCTTGCCAAAAACCGCTGAAGAAACAAACATTCAGCTGCTCGGCTCACCATAGCATGACTGCCTTTCCAGAAAATGCCTTTCTTAAATCAAGGACTGAATCAGAGCTCTCCAAAGCTATTTTTCCTCCTGAGAAAAGCACTCTTTATTACTTTTATTAGTGCCCTCTGACTCCTTTATGACATTCAAGACATTCCGTTTCAGCACCAGCAACTCTGCAACATATTGGCTGGGAAAACTCGATCCATGCTCAGGCTGACTCACAGGGCAATTCAGAGGAAAGCCACAACTGTAAATATTTAGAACGTAACGTAAAATCATCATTAAAATGTAACTGCCTTCTCACGGTGACAAACATATGTGATTTTTGTCTTGTTGGCTTTTGTGGTGCTGGGGACTGAACTTGCCTTTGCATGTCCGTGGCAAGGACCGGACCACTGAGCCCATATGTGAGATTTTATTCAGCATTTTTTGTGGGTCTTGATCTTTTACTGGTCTCTTAGTTTTAGTCTTCTTGGCCAAACTTCTGGCCAAACTTCCTCTTGCTGTGATCTCATTTCTTTTCTTGGCTTCAAATATCCTCAGTGTCTTGGGATTTCCAAATGTCCCCCTTCAGAACTCTGGGACACTTAGAGTCAAGCACCTGACTTCAGAGCTCATTTATTCCCTTTTCTCTTCTGAGCTTCCTCTGTGTGAGCAGCACTGAGCTCCTGCTAGACTCCACTTTCCCCTTCTGCCTCTCCCACGCTTCTCGCTAGCCTCCCCTGTCCTCTCCCTGCCATGCTTACTCCATGTGAGTAACGCCAAGCTTCTTGAGGCCTCAGATATACCAGCAAGCATTGCTTCTTCCTCTGGACTCTGACTAGATGGATACCAAAGGATGCTGGCGGTGCTGTATTTCTTCTTCTCCCATAGTTGCTTACATCTTTGCACAACAGAATATCAGCTTTGCTTCTGTCTCTCTCTGTCAGTGCCCTGAGCCTTCTCATCCCACATGTAATGTGCCTTCCTTCATGGGCTCTTTCCCATCTTGCTCGTCCACTTGACTTTTCTATCTCTGGCCACTTCTCATCTCACTTTTCACCCTCTGTCTAAGGGTTCCATGCAAAAACTCATCTTCAAGGAGTTCTTATCTGGTGTCTAAATCTCTATAACAATTCTGCCTTATTCAGTTCATTCCATTCTCATGCATCCCTTCTTCCTATAACCTTCCTGTAAACATCTTAAACACATCAGGTCCAGAACCCAGTTGCCTTCCTTTTCCACATTTGGGGATTGTGGAAGGGCAGTAGTACCTTGGAGGTATCCAAGCTCACATTACGTCCCTTTGTTCACTTTATCTTTGGTGGACAGCAACAATCTTACATATATTAGGCTGCTTCCCACATGCCCTGTAGCATCACCACTGTCTTTTGACCTTTTGTCTTTTGGTGTCTCCTCTAATGGCCTCATTTGCTTCTGGGACATCATTAAGCAAAGTAAGGTCTATCTGCCCCTAAGCATCGTGATATACTATGATATCGTATCTGCTAATTGTGCTGACTGCTGTGTGACTAAGGAGGGCACAGTAGACAAGATGGAAGCACTGGATAGATGAACCATTTATGCCCCATGTAGGATGGAGCAGAACAACAGGAAATTTCCTCATGGTGTTCTGAATAGTGTGTAATTGAAACAGGATCTCAAGGGCGGGCTGTTTGACCCCCACCCCCCCAGGGGAGGAGCAGTCTGTTAGGCCACAGAGGAGGACTTTGCAGCCAGCCCTGAAGATACCTGATAAAACAGGGTCAGATGAAAGGGGAGGAGGTCCCCCCCTATCAGTGGACTTGGAAAGGGGCAGGGAGGAGACCAGGGAGGGAGTGTGGGGTTGGGGAGGGAATGAGGGAGCGGGATACAGCTGGGACACAGAGTTAACAAAATGTAACTAAAAAGAAAAAAAAAAACAAAACAAAAAACAAAACCCAAAATTTAAATAATTAAATAAATAATGAATAAAAAAAAAAAAAAGAAAACCTGTCGATTTAAAAAAGTGTTTTGAAACTTCCCAGTTACTATTTTCAGACTAACCTTCTTGGGACGGTTTCCCTATAACATCTTTGGTTCACACATGCTACCAGCCCTGCTGGGCTCTGGATGACCGTTTATACATCTGGGCGTTTTCTTCTCCCTTCCCATTCTTTAAAGCCCCCCACATTTTCACGAGGCCTGTCATCCCAGCAGGCCACCCCTCTTCTCTTACTTGTTGGCTGCATGGGAACACTTCTCCTTCAGCAGGAATCCCATTGCCCTTGCATTAGTGACCTGAGCACTTATCCTAACCCCTTTAGGGCAAAAACCTTATCTGCAGATCTCTGTGTTGTAGCCATTGACCTGGGTTGGCATTGTTTACTGAATGAATAAAATTACACTCATAATCTCATTATAGAAGAACATAAATTCACAGAGGGCAATTTTACAGAAGGTAAATTAATGAGGCCAAGGTTATAGGTTCAATACTCATGCGGTTGATTTAGCTGTAGAGAGAGAGTGAGAGTAAAAGAGAATATGCTTATCCAAACCCAAACAAATTAAAACAAGCAAGCAAGGAAATGAAAGAAGACCTCAGGACAGGGACTCAGACTGTTTTCCAAAGCAGCTCATTCTCTTTTTTTATTAGTTAGGGAGAATATTTGGGAGTACTTTGTAGTATATTGTCTTTTATAAAGTTATCTTTGATAATAAGTGAGTCATAATCTTGGGGGTGACAGTTCTTCCCTCTGAGCCACAATTCATAATGTACATAGCAGTCATGAATCGAAGAACAAAGGCCCAACTTAGAATCTGAACTGTGAGAAACGAATTACAGCTGGTTACCTGTTAATGGAAAATTCAAGAACATAAGTGCTTTGTAAAATAAAATGTAAAACACAGTGATGATTAATTACTTAACATCAATAGTTAAGTAGCTGTTGATAGATTGGTTAGGCAAGAAAAATGAACTCCAGACAACAAACAAACAAACAAACAGATACACACACATACATAAACTCTCTTTCTCTCTGTGTCACAAACACACAGCAAAAACAAAACAAGACAAATAACAACAACAACAAAACTCCAAATGCTGGGATCCAAATCAGTGAGGCTCACTCTAGGAAGAAGCTTGGAGAACAGTCCAAATCACAGAGTCCCTCCAATACAATATGAAGAAGATATAATCTGGGTAGGCATTTGGTAGTTGACTAAAAATGTGTCATGGACACTGAGGAGACACAGTGCAA